TAATAGCATTGGGTCTTCTGTTTAACTGGCAATGTCAGAAATTATTGACCTGAGTCCCCCACAGCTCAACCTAACAACATGGCTTTATTTCCTATATTTCGTCTTCATAGTTTTCTACTGGATGGTTAGGACCAAGGTAAAGCAGGACCTATGCAACAAGAGTTGTAGCTTTTTGGTCTGAGAAGGTCAGTGAAATGCCCTCAGGATTTATCCTGAGATCCAAGCCTGATATCTTGTCCAAACAATATTAGTACAAACCTTTCTTTTCAGTGAACTAAGAGAAACTAGCTGTATAACTATCTGAACTGTCTTGTATATACATGTATTTTTTCCCCTTTCTCTTTCTTCCTTTCTCCTGTACCTCAACAGTTTGTCTTTTCTTTTGAACAATTTCTTCCCAGTTCACTATCTTTTGTACGTTTATTTTTTATTGATGTGAGAATGAAAAGGACATGGGTGCAGATACTAGTAACAAAGATAAATTGAAATTATGAAACTAATGCTATATATTCAAGGAAGTTGAAATTAGACTTGATCTGAAAGCTATACTTTTAAGGATTATTTCTGTAGTATATTACTAGAAAGACTTGATCTGTACTTGTCTTTGTCCTACCCATGTGACCGAGTCTTATTTCTATGCATATTTTAGCTTTACGAATGTATGCTTATAGAGTCCGCCAAAAATGTGTACACAATTCAAGAAAAGAAAAACTTGCATAAATATTTTAATGCTAAATTTATTGAGCATAAAAAACTAAAACTAATGTGTCAAAATTAGTACTAAGTTACTTGTCTCTACAGTGACGAGAGGCACTCTTAAGTGCTAACGATTGGATTTCAGTCATTTGTCAGTATGGCAAACCGCTACTTACGTAACCTTGCTCATTGAGATTGCAGCACATGCATTTGCAGTTTCTTCTGTAATGGCTGGTAGTATAATGGGTTTTCTGTGATACAGGGCAACACCATCTGCTGAAAAAGCATCATACTATTTTTCTTCCTGACTTGTGCATACATTTTTTTTGACCAGTTGTGTATATGTGATTCTATAAAAAGAGATTTCTAACGGAACAATGATATACAAAAAAACATACATAATACATATCTTTTGTACTTTCTTCAGCATTCAAGAGATTGGATAGGAATAAAATGCTTTTATGAAAATCATTTTATTATGGAACTGAACTCCTTATCACGTGTTTTCAAATAGAGCCTCTTTTCCACGAATCTTACACACAAGATGGCTAACAAATTCAAGTTTACTTGTCTGTTATAAGGGCCGTGTTAGTGCTAGATTTTGAAACAGTGAAATAAGGTATTAAAATTGTTATTGCTTCAAGTATCCTCTTTTTGCAGTCTAGGGGTATGGAGCTCAGGGCCTTCAAGTTGAGCTACACCCTCAGCTTTTATGTTTTATTTTGAAACCAGCTTTTTAAGTTGCCTAGGCTGGGGCAGAACTTGCACTCCTCTGGGCTCAGCCTCACATAGTGGCTGGGATTTCAGGCATATACCACCACACCTGCCTTGTTTCATAAATTTTGTGTTTTTGCATATTGTGCTTATGCTCTATGGACAGTTTATTTGCATAAATTCAAAAGTTTATTTTACAGCTTGACCAAAATTGTTTTATCTTCTGTTACTGCATATTGTAAATGAGACTTCATTGTCAACACTTTTCCTCCTTAGAAAGGAGATCTTTGCTGTTTTTGAACTATTCAGGGCTTCATCTTTGAATTTAAAAAATTTTTTCTCTGGTATAACTCTCATTATAGAATTCATGCAAATAACTTCCCCTTTAGAAATATTTTGTCAATATTTTATGTAGGGGAAGTTAGTTACTAATATTAAAATTAGCTTCTTTGACAGATGACTGTAACTTCCTTCTTCTTATCTGGCTTTACTTTTCTTGACTCAGTACTTCCAAGTGCCTCACTTGCTTTGTTTTGTTGTTTTTCCTTTATGTTCTTTCTTGGAAAATTGATACTTTTAGGGGTGGGGATGGGGGTGGAGGTGGGGCTTTCTCTTTCACATAGAATCAGTTTCTGTCACCACTCCCCAACTTATGCCAGGTCCCGTCTGCTCTTCTGTGTCCCAATCTGTTGGTGGTGCTCCACCAGGCATTCTAGCACTGTTATCATAGATCTGTTTTAATGTATTTTTCTTCTTTTCATTGATACTTGAAGTGGCATTCAAACTTTTTAGTAAGATCACTATTGACATGCTATAGTATTTCTGTGAACTACTATAGCAAAAGTACAACTTCCAATGAAATTTTCTTTTTTATTTTATTTTATT